ATAACTCAGGATATTTTTTATGCTATTATTTTTTTATGAGTGTTATGATATTATGTACCTGTCGATCAAGGATCGATGGAATGATTTTATATGCGATTTTATATGTTAAATAGTGCGATTTTAGTACAGTATTATGTTCTTTATACATGCTAATTTTTGATAAAGTATGCTGTTCCTAAAGAAACCATTAATAACAAGACATTTTTGCTTAAATTCATTGAAACAGATACAGGAAGAGATCTTGGAGGAATTTTAAGCGAGTTTTTCTTTTACTTGGCCAGACATAGGCGTTCTTGCTCACGTGAGTCGATTCCCAAATTTTAATCACATTAGATTGCAGTATGTTCTCATCTTAAATATTGGTCAATAGACTGGATGGTTATTATCATCTTGTTTACCAACTAAATTTAGAACTCAACATTACTTTTTTTCTATACTTACACTTTTATAATTGTTAAGCTGGCATGTTGTACAACGTACATCATTTTAAATGCTGCCTTAAAAAACGCTCAATCTGGCTTATGAAGTAGTTGTTGTATCGCAGATCTATTGAATCACAGAGACAATAGAAATCCAATAATAGAGCTCAGTAAACAAATTGGAGATTGTGAAAATGGAAAGATTGCTATGAACGAATAAGAATACATGGATAAACGATTGAATATGTGAAAATCGGTGTAGATTTATAAAATAAAAAACAAGAAAATTATCAAACTTGCAAAAATTAACTAAGGCTTTATTAAACAAATAAAAGGGGGTCTTTATATACACATTATTTCAGACATTGATCACAGATGGGCTGATGACGGTCGTGGGTAGATTCATCCAGATAATACTCGGATGTAATGATCCCATATAGAAAGGCCATAATGAGATGTCAATAACAATAACAATAACATTCATTCTTAAACTGTGTATGTCTTGTAGCACAGTATTCAGGGGAAAATGTAGTTCTTAATTCAGATAGCTGTGGCACCTCAATGTGGCTGATGTAACCTTCATATGTGTTCATATCAATGTTATTATTTAAATGTATGTCTTATACTTGTATGAAGGATGATATGAGATCAAGCCTGTACATAAAGTAAATGATCAGTATTTAATATAACAGTATCAATAAGAATTATATTTAGGATTATCAAATGGAAGATTTAAGAAGTGTAGATAGAGTCATATATTAAGTATATAGCCTCGATCACGACAGAATAGTAAAGCCCAATTGGATTTACTATTAATTTACACACAGCTTCGTAAAAGTATGAATACGAGCTCATTGAACTCTTAATAAAAGTTTATCTTTACTTTGATTATTTTTAAAGACCATTTTGATATCTACGATATTACAATAGGTTTATTTACGTGGTAGTATGTGCCAGATTTTATGATAACTTGTTAATGATCTTTATACAAGTCTTGGGTTTGCAGTTTTCATAAACTATGTTTTATTTACTAGAACGTCATTGGAAAGGAATTGTCATAATTAAGTTACACCTTATCCCAAATTTATGCTTTAAGAGTAAACAGCTTTTTAACTCAATCTTTATTCTTGATCTGTCTGCTCTTTAAACTTGTTTGTCATGATTCACATAAGCTATGACTAAACTTGTCATTGCTTATTCTTTTAATTGATTTCTTGTTTTATTTTTTTATAAATAGAGCTGATGTTTCACTTCTCGTTGTTCTTTTTTATCAGATTTATTTCACAATCATCTTCTCGTCTTTTTTTGCTTTACTTTCTGTCATGAACTTACTCACCCTGTATATTGTTTGCATAACTTAAACCATAATTTTAACCCCTTGTGAAACCTTGTCCTAGAAATTAATATCAGTATATCTTGCCCGTTACCAAACTCCCTGCAAGACCTTGTACGAAAAATCATATCAGTATATCAAGCCTGCCACCGAACTCCTTGTAAAATATATCATTAATCTGTCTCTCAATATTACTCCCGCTTCCTGTCTGACTCAACCTTAGTAAACATATTCCCGATCATCTATTACTTTTATTCCTAATCTAGTTTCCCGCCCGTGTCAAACCAAAAATATTCACCGAGCCATCATATTATTCAATGTCAACTAAATCCAGCCTGATACATACTACCCGTGAAATCTCAATTACTCATCCTTGTCAATAATCTACTCATGATATCTGTTCCGTAAAATCCCTTGTTAATATATAATTTAAAACCATCGTAGTTTCCCCCATGTATAAGGAATAGTATAAACAGATGCTGTTGTATTTGGGTACGATTCAATTAAGAATAATTAAACAAATCGTCTAAATAAATAAACTATGAAATTAAAACACCTTTGTTGTTGCATATCAGCAGACGCTTGTATACTGCTATACAACTTCTCCTACTACGAGTACGTACCTCTACATTATAGGCTGCATGATTGGTCTAAATACGATATACAAATGACAGTTGGATAAAGAATGCTATGCCACTGAGTTACGAAATCACCGATCGAGAAGACAATCTTCTCAGATCAAATCAAGAATTATAAGAAATATAAACTTAATATCAATAGTTCTCTCAATAGATTAGCTATGTGGTATTTGACAAAAATATTACAAAGAAAAAGTAATGAGAAAAAAGTATATCTTTATTCGAGGTAAAAATAGACTAAAAGAACTCTGCTGCGATGAAATAATTGATCCTTTTTATATTGAACAACTTCCCCTGGTAGTTGTGTTGAGTCAACCTTTCTGGTCTTGTAATAAATCTATACTCAGTTTCCCGCCTTGCATTAAATGAATTCTACTCGTTAGAATTGATTTCAAATAACGTCGCCCTGAATCAACCGATCTGGGACACTCTTATTATTCTGTTTAAAATACAGAATTCCAGTAAGATATTGTGTAACGGTGGCTAGTTAAAAGATGCATAAGGTTTTTGTGTTTAATTGGCTGTGGTAGAACATGTAGATATGTCTGATCATTTATCCATTCTGTTGATTATTTTTATCTAAGACATGGGTAAATATGTGATCCTAAATATAGAACATCTTATCGATGTTTGTATATTTAGTTGTAGAAAATAGGCATCCAAATATTCCATGCACTACTTCTCTTATACACTTACAGTCGTATAAGTTGGGTTTATCAATATATAAGTAAATGAACCATTTATATAAATAGCTGTTCTATTCTCTCTATGGGTAGCTAATCCATTGAGAGAACTATTAATATTAAGTTTCTCTTTCTTATATTTCTTGATTTGATTGGAGAAGCTTCTCTTCCCGACCGGTGATATCGTAACTCAGTGGTATAGAATTCTATATCCAACTGTCATTCGTATATCGATTTTAAGCCAATCATGCAATCTTTTTATATAGAAATATGTACTCATAGTAGGAGTCGTTGTGTAGCAGTATACAGGTGTATGCTGTTACTCAATATTAAAGGATGTTTTTATTCCATGTTTTTATTTTATTCGATTTATTTGATTATTCTCAAATAAATCATACCCAAATACGACAAGCTACTCAGAGAGACAATAGAACAGCTATTAATATAAATGGTTCATTTACGTATATATTCATATAATGATACAGCTGATAAAGATTATAAAAAAATAGTGTTTGAATTAATGGATACCTATCTTCTACAACCAAATATACAAATATAGATAAGACATTTTCTATTTGGGATCGTATTTTATTCATTTGAAAGATAATGAATACATGATTAACTATCACTATTATGTTTTATTGCCAATTCTACTTGAAAAACAAGTATGCATCTTTTACAGTAACCGCTGCGTGGTTTGTTAAATAGGTGGTTATTAACACTAAAACTTTTATTAGAATACCCATGCTCCCGATACACTGATATGGGACAACGTTAACTGGAAAAAATATTGATGAGTAGTATTCATTTAACTCGAGGCTGAAAACAAATTATAAATTTATTCCAAAACAAAATCAGTTGGCTCATCCTTAAAACCCAGGAGAGTTCTGAAATATAAAAGTGACCAATTATTTCATAACAGCATAGTCTTTTTAGTCTATTTTTACCTCTAATAAATATATACTTCCATCTAATTATTTTTCAAGTGCATTATTTTTGTCAAATATCACGGCTGTGACATTCGCTTTGAAAGAAGCCTTTGCTTCGGCTTCAACGTAATCGTCATCCTCATCCTCATTTACCATCCTAACATCTCTGACTTCTTCCATCAAATCTCCAAGTACTTTGATATTACTGTTGATTATATCGTTCAAAATATGAGTTTTTAAACATAATATGCGATGAAAGTTGTTTTTAATCATTATGCTTACGATTTTTCCTAGTCGAATATATTGATGTTGGGAATGATCTCTTCCGTTTCAGGCATTTTGGGACATTCTATTTAAGCTGCTACCGTTTTAATGTTGTTGTGCGGACGAAAGTAAGCACATGTTAATTACTGTACTTACTGCCTTTTACCAGTGCACTGGAACATTTTTTCCTTCAAAAAATGATAATTGTAGTTGTTGATGAGATGAGATGATCGATTCCATGAGGAGATCTTTTTAAGCATTAGTCGCAGTTGCAAAGATGGAGGATCTTTTAGCAAAAAATAAAAAAGTCTGAAAAATAGTTTTTTTTTATCACAAGAAAACTCTATTTAAAAAAAATGAAAGCCAATAATTTTCGGAGTTTGCTATTACTCAGTGTAGTATGTTTGTTGGCCTCTCATTTCTTAGTAATGCAACCAGGTGTACGAGACAATGGACTAAAAAACTTTTTTACACATCCATGATAGGCTCATTCCAATCTCAACTGACAAGTTTTAGGAGAAGCGATCATTGCTTTTCAAAAAAAATACCATTTTCACTCCACTGCTTTGATCTTGAATAAGCTGACTTTGACTAAATTTCTCCTAACATCACAACTTACTAAACTTTCGACAATAAAAAATCAATGCACAACCCTACATCTTTCATTTTAACCGAAACGAACACAATATTTAGAAAAGACCAATTGGTCAAAAAGACATGAACATTTTTTTTTTTTAAAAATCAAAATCTCTGTCTAAAAGTTTGTCAATTTCTTCTGCCAGCGAGTCCAGGTATTCTACATCGAAAAGAAAGTGTTAATTAGAATGGCCATAACATATATAAAAATGCTTTTTCTTACCATCTTCGTCGGTAGCTAATCTGTTAAAGAAGGCCTCGCCAGCAGAAGAAACAGGAAGAGAACAAGCAGCAGAACAAGCAACGGAACCTACGGAAGTAGCGGTAGTACCACCCGGAGAAGAAACACAGACCGCCAAAGGGGTACTATTGCCACAACCAGGTCCAACGGAGGCACTCACAGAAGGAGCAACAGCCACAGAATTACCGCCGGAAGGAACAAGCGAAGACAACGAAGTACCAACAGAAGGACCAAAGACGACCGGAAGAGCCACAGGCGAAGTGACCGAAGCCGAACGATGGTCAACAGAAGGACCAAACACAAAAGGACCAGGCACAGAAGAACCAACCGAGGGCAAAGAGAGGTCAACAGAAGTTCCGAAGACAAATGGTCCTGGCACAGAAGGCGCAAAAGAAGGCCAAGACAAGCCAACGGACAAACATGACTCCAGAGGGGAAGCCAAAAAAGGAGCAGCTACCAAAGGAGCATCCACAGATGGAGCAGCCACAGAAGGAGCAACCACAGAAGGAGCAACCACAGAAGGAGCAACCACAGAAGGAGCAACCACAGAAGGAGCAACCACAGAAGGAGCAACCACAGAAGGAGCAACCACAGAAGGAGCAACCACAGAAGGAGCAACCACAGAAGGAGCAACCACAGAAGGAGGAGCCACAGAAGGTCCAAACGAAGGCCAAGAAAAGCCAACGGAGTGACAAAACTCCAAAGGAGCAGCCACAGATGAAGCATCCGAAGACAAAGAGAAGCCAACGGAGGGACCACAGACCAAAGGCTCAGTCGCACAATGGCCAACCGAATTCAAAGAAAGGCCAACAGGAGGACCACAAACGAACCGATCAGACCCAGAAGGACAAACCGAAGGAGAACAAGGATCAACAACATCCTTCACCTCTGAGGTGGGAGACATGGTATCTATTTCCATGCACTCCACTTGTAGTACCTCAGAGGCTACGGACGGGCTACTGTGACGTGCGTGTTTGACACGCAGAGGTCTTGGCATACCACGCCCAAACAAAGCTTGGTTACGAATTTGAGCGCGAGCTCGACGAATACAAGTTTGTTTCGCGGTATCAATAGTGGCGAATGGCACCGGGAAGGACTGATCCACAAACGATGACACCACAGGCGATGGCACCACAACAGAGGACACCAAAGAAGGTGTTACTACCGAAGAAGGCCCGAAAGAGCAGGCAACAACAGGAGGAGGGGCCAAAGAAGTTGACGCAACAACAGGAGGCACCACAACAGCAGGCACCACAACAGCAGGCACCACATCAGTTGGATGGGCCAACGAAGAAGCCACTAACACAGGAGAGGCCTCAGCAGGAGCAGCTACAGCACGAGTGCTCTCAACAACAAGAGAATCTACTACAACAGCAGAAGGGGCCACGACAGCAGCAGGAGGGTCACAAGCAGATGGCACCGCAACAGGAGGAGCCACCACAACAGCAGAAGGGGCCACCACAACAGCAGAAGGGGCCAAAGCAGATGTCACCACAAGAGGAGGTACAACAACAGGACGTACTGCAACAGGACGCAACGCAACAGGACGCACCGCAACAATACGCACCGCAACAGGACGGAAGGAAGAAGAACGCACCACGGCAGAACGGGTGTCAACACGAAAGAGCTTGATCAATGCCGAATTGGCTGAATTGCCAAGGAAAGACAAGAAAGGCCGTAACAGCAATAATAATCTAGAAAAATAACACAATCTCAATCAACACGAAGTTATATTTTATCTATCTAGTGTTACGTACCCTAAAGACGAAACGAAAATCGCCAAAAACTTAAATGGGAAACAAAAAAAAAGTTAATCTTTGATGGAGATTCCTAATGCACAGTCATCTTACATAAAGCTTTAAAAGCAGAGGGAGAATGGGTGACGCTCTGTCCATTAAAAAATAGAAAAAGATTGATTTAGAGAACATATATATGTAAAAAAGCATCAAAAATACTTACAAAAAAACAATCGACAGGATAAAGTAAATCATTTTTCAAATAAAACTGCTTTGAAAGAAAGAAAAGAAAAAAAATGGCGCAGTTCTGTAACCAGATGTATAAAAAGTTTTGTGACAGTCACATTTAGTGCATTTTTGTATTTCCTTCTTTACCAAAAAGAGAATGATGAAAAAATGGCTGCCCTAACTATTCCTACCTCCATAGTTTCGAAACATAAACTTAAGTTGTTGCTCTCTCTCCAGAAAGTTATAAATGAGTAGATCTAACTGGAATTTAGATGGGAATGATAAATCATGCAAATTCAATGTCAAAACTAATCTGAGATGCTAACAAAAACAACAAACTAGCGAAGCGTAGGATTCGTGTTAAGTCCCATTGCATAGTTTAAATGGCAAATAAGATGGTTAAATCTTGAAATGACTAACCCATAAAAAATCCCTGTTACGCTATCTACTCCTACTACTAACTCTGTGTTGTATCTAAAGACATCATTTAAGAGTATACCACAATCATAAGTCTCTCTCCAAATGAGTTGGTAAAATTGTTGTATGTTGGTAGTCACCCAACTGATATGCTTTTAAAAAATAGCTTCAAAAACGTTTATGTTTGGTGTAATGCATTTTCAGGTCAATTACATCCACTAGTTTAGAAATCATCAATGTGACATGGACCTATCATATTTGTGGACTTCAGCAAAAGCATTGTGGAATATACGTACGGCAATGTTTTAGTCTTTCAACAAAGATCTATGCAGCGGACTGTTGTATGCGAGCTGTAAATACACCTTAGCTAAGGTAATACGCTTGTGCTACGACGATTGAAGTATTTTCACTGCTGTCATATTTATCATATGTCAGCTGGTAATTTCAGAGTTCACATAACACCAAATGCCCATTCAAGTACGGGTTGTTTATTATATTCTCCTTACTGCTCCTTGCGGGTTTATTGACAGCTTGAACAACATTTGGATATAATCTACCCACGATGGCAGGGTCCCGCTTGTAGTTTTAGTTGTATTCATTATGTATAAAAGAAATCATTATTTTTATGTTCAATTAAACTTAGTTCCTTTTTGCAATCTGGTTAATACTTTATGCTATTTTCTATTTTGGATTTTTGGATTTTTCACGGACATTCTTACATGAATCAAATATGAGTACCTTTTGTGAAGTAGCACAAAACGTAAACGCATAGAACTTAACGTTGAAAACAGGCTGATAGAAACTAGTAAAATGTGATATTTTGTTGGACAACAATAATCTGCAGTTGATCAGTTGGATCATGTATGTTGTATTCGAGGAGTATATACACCACAGTATTGGTATACTCCGACGATTGAAGTAATTTATCATTTTTCATATTTTGACATATGTCAGCTGCTCATCTAAAATTCATGTAGCACTAAGGGGGATTTCCCTGTTACGGACTGTTATTTTTATTATCCTTGATGTACCTTGCGGGATACTGACAGCTTGGATGATTTATAATGAAATCTACCCACGATGATAGTTTACCCGTTTACAGTTATGGTTATGTTCAATGTGTATAAAAAAACTCTTTATTTTTATATTTAATAAAAACAAGTTATTTTGCAATCCGGTTAATAATTAGTCTTATAGATTATTTTCTTTGTTGTATTTTTCAATGTAGAAAAAAGGAAGAAAGCCGATGAAGTAGATGTACTTGAGGAGTAGGTAAATGAAGTGGAAAAGATCCCCATAGCTGAATTATGGTTGGAGTAAATATAGTTGAAGGTGTGGTGAAAGTAAAATAAGTAATAAATGCTATTGTTGCCAAAAGAAATATGTTTAACAAATAAAGGTCTGCAAAACTTGACTCGACTTTACGGAAGTTTTCTTAATTATAGAACAACCATCAGTGCAAGAAAAAGTATCTATTTGAATGGAACTGGTGCAAAATTTTGGGAAATTCGTACCTCTTTTTTTTATGAAAAAAAGAGAAGCCCGTTAAATAGTTTAAGCCATCAAACAGCAAAGAGAAAGATGTCCTACGCAAAAATAAGCTGTGGTGTATAATATCTAATCATCGTTCAAATGGGTATCTCGTTGTAGTGAACAGATTCTTTAAATTCGATATTAAAGTAGTTTTTGGAGACCGTAGTATCAATAAATTCTAATCGATGGTCATCTGAAATCACAAAAGGGGTTAGACCAGAACAGTAAGAGCACTGCAGCAGTTACACTTAAAAAAAAACTCTTACCCTTAAGAGCACTAAAAAGGTTGTGTGTACCTGGATAGATATTTTTTGTTTTCTCTGTACGATTTCTTCCTTGTCAAAATAGCTGGCATTGTTTATTTTATTGAAGAAGGAAAAATAGATGATTGTTGCTACATCAATTTTCAACTTTGGAAAACGTGAAGGTAAGACAAACAAAACGTTCAGGACATTGCTCGAGGCAAAAACCTTAATTTTACATTTTAAGCCCCACTGCTAGGTGCTCTAAAAGTAAAACAGGTTGTTTTAATATGATATGAAGATATCATGAATAATGTAGACTTTCGATAGTAAATGCACTCTTTAATAACGAGGAAAGTAGTTCTGGCGGCAACTTTATTTAAAAAAAAAGCAAAAAAAAGAAAAAAAAAAAAAAAAAGGTTCACAGTTAAAAATAGAATTATCATCTCATCATAAAAAAGGTCTTTTTTCCCCTTTCAGATTTTTTTTATTATTTTTTGCCAAAATGATTCTTCATCTTTGTAAATGCGACCAATGCTTAAGAAAAAATCCTCAAGGAGTCGAGCTCCGCATCACCAGCTACAACTACCATTTTGAAAGACAAATGCGTTTCAATGCACTGATGTCTGGCAGTAACAACAGTAAGACATGTCCTTACTTTCTTCAGGTCAAAAACAAAAAAAATATTAACAGCCTAAATAGAACGTCGAAGAACGAATGAGGTTGAAGAGAACATTCCCAACGTTGAGGCAATTGCCATTGAACAAGGTTCATGCACATTGTTAAAAAAAAAAAACTTTCATCGCAAACTAATTTTACAAACAGATATCATGAATGACATAAGCAGCAGTAATGTCGAAGAATATGAAGACAATATCGAAGAAGCCAAAGATGTAAGCATGGTAGTTGATGGGGAAGATGACGATGACGATGACGACGAAGGAGAAGAAGAAGAAGAAGAAGAGGAAGTTTGTGCCGATGGGAATATCGAAACAAACGTCGAGAAGAATGTCGATCCTAAAAAAACTGAGGAACAAATCAGAGCAGACATGTATGGATTATTTGCTGCCAATTTTAAGGTTAAGGAAGGTCTCACCGATAAAGCAGCTGATACCCTTCTTCAGTTTTTGAACATCGCTTTAAAGGATGCCAATAATAGTAATCAACCTGCTTTGCCAAAGTCGTTCAAAACAGTTGAGAAAAATTTTAATGGTGATTGGGATGCTGGTGTCACCAGATATGCGGTTTGCGAAAAATGACATTCAATCTATGCTCCTGAAGTGACCAAGGTATGATAATTCACGTTCTTAAAATCAACGTCTAATCATTATAATGCAGGATAAAATACCCTCTCAACAATCATGTTCTTTTGTCTCGCTGGATGGTAATGTTTGTGATGAAGTTTTGTTTGAGCAGGTGAAGAAACGTAATGGCAACAGCATCTACAAGCCCAAATTTGTTTACCCCTAGAAGTCTCTCAAAAGTTCGTTGCAAGAGTTGATGCTTCGCTCCGAATTCGAATCTACAATGAATGATTGGAGATTAAGAGATGTTGTTCCAGGAACGTATTACGACATATATGATGGTAAAATGTTCAAAACATTGATGGATAACACCGGCCTTCCATTTTCAACATTGCGAAATCCGTTGTATGCAACGTTAAATGTCGACTGGTTCCAACCTTTTGATAATGTAAATTATTCTTTTGGTGCTATTTACATGTGCATCAATAATTCGAAAAGAGAAGACCGATTTAAGGAAGAAAACATCATCCTGGTTGGGCTTATGCCTGTTGGAAAAGAGCCAAAACTGGACCGAATCAACACGTACTTGAAACCCTTGGTTGATGAGCTTTTAGAATTGGAAAGAGGAGTGATGATGAAAACGGCGGCGAAACCTGACGGGATTAAAATCCATTGTGCTTTGTTGATGTTGGCATGCGATATCCCTGCTTGCAGGAAAGTAGCTGGTTTTGCAGCTCATTCCAGTGGCCATGCGTGTAACAAGTGTGAAGGTCAATTCCCCTTGGTTGAAGGTAAACCTGATTTTTCCGGAATCAACACTGTTGCCAGTAAATGGCCTGAACGATCGAAGGCAAGCAACTTGCGAGCGGCGTTGAGTTGGCGCAATGCCACTACTGAGAAAGAAAGAGAGGACCTCGGGAAGGCAAATGGAACAAGGTATTCCGAACTGCATCGATTGAGGTACTTTAATGTTGTTATACAAAGCATTATTGATCCCATGCACAATCATTTTTGGGGTCATGCTCAAAATTTGTGAAGATTTGGAAGGAAGAAGGGTACTTCACCAAAATCAACTTGGAGAAAATGCAAGTTCTTGCCGACTGGGTGGAATTACCTGCTGGCATTGAAAGTGTTGATCAAAAGATTGCAAGTGGTTTTACCAACTCTAAGGATGACAACTGGAAAAGTTGGTGCCTGATGTATTCCACTTTTGTTTTGACAGGTAAATCTTATTCGTCATAAAAAACGTCTTCTTTATTAACTTTGTAATGGACAGGTATTTTACTCTAAGAAAACATGAGAAACTGGATGGATTTTGTAAATTCATGCAGATATGTATTGAAAACCGGCATCAACCAATCCGAGGTTGATAAAGGCCACTAGCTCTTTTTGGACTTCAATAGAGTAGCGGAGGGTTTATACGGCAACAGATGTCTTGCAATGTAGCAGCATCTTCATGGGCGTTTTAAGCAGACCGTTGAGGATTTTTCGGCACCACATGTGTACAGGCTTTTCTCTTTCGAACGTCGCAATGGATGTCTGGGATCATTTATTAACAACGGAAAAAATGTTGAAGTTACATTCATAAAAACATTTTTGGAAAAATATAATCTTTAGCATAATAAGATCCGAGCATACAACAAAGCCATTAAATCACCATCATCATCACCATCCTTCCAACCTGAAAAAGTCATGAAAACTTTCTTGCATGAGAAGATTATGGTTAGTGGACGCTCCAATGACCGGGTAAAACGCCAACTTGAAGAAGGGTTTGTTGCAACTGAATTTGCCGAATCTTTTGTCAATTTAGACTTTAATGTCACCGGGTCTGAGCTTCTTCCTTTGGGTGTTGTTCCCATTAAAGTTTTAAACAAAAACAGTGATGGAGGAAAGCTATTATGAATGTCTATTAGACTTTTATGATGCAACATATCCAGGGTATATGGCAATTGGTCTGCCGAATTCTGATTTTGTCGCGCCCCCTTTTGGAGCCAGATAGACAACAACGTCAGTGTATATGGAGAAGTTTGCATTAAATCGGTTAAGTAAAAAATCAGTCAACAGTGCCGAACAAAGATCTTCCTCTGGCAGCTGTATACAAAGTTTGTTTGTCGGTCATAACCACGAGAAAGTTGAAGCTTGGCCTGGTAGAGTGCTCTACTCTTTTAGGCATAATCAAAGGTTTTATCTGGGAAATGAGGTTCAGAAAAAGGATCATGTTTTTGATTTTGTTAAATTTTTTAAGCCTTTGAATAATACGTTCTACAGTAAGAAGTATAAGGATCAAGGATTGGAGGTCTGGCAATCTTCGCTTAGTGACCTGTGTAGAGATTCTGTAGTTCCTATTTCCCGGAACTATTTTCCAATCGCTTTGGCGAAGAAGCCTTCAAGGGATACAGTAGATGACCAAAACAACCATATTGTTATTATACCGTTACAAAGGAATGTATTTGACTAGTCTTAAAGGTAATCAAGAAAGAAATAAGTATTGTGTCTTGGGTTAAATTGCTAAACATTATTACTTTGAATTAGAAATAGAAAAAAAGAATTGTTTATTATAAATCATATATATAGTCTTTTTCGTCCGAGCTCCACATATTTTTGTATTCACATCCTTCATGGCTAGGAATATACCCACTGTCCGTCATTGGCGTAGTTTGATTGACTGCATCATAGTCAGGACGAACCATCCACTGATCTTCATTAGCAGGTGCTGCCAAATTATGGTAATAGACGGATTTCTTTCTGCTCCTCTCATTGACCTTTCGTCCGTGCTTATCAAGAACTATTAATATATTCATGGCCTGTAAAGAAAAAAGGTAAGGAAGTTTATTATAGGAACTATTTCAACTCGAATAATTGATATCTTTATTACCTTATTGCTACGATACATAGGTTTTTTG